TCCTCCGCGTGCGATAGACAATACCCACAAACCTTGCTCTCGAACGGTGTCCAGTCCCGGTAGCTTCCCCAATGGTCAGAGATATTCCATGCCCCCCACCTTCCAGGTATAAGGTGCGGTATTCTGAGCATCGTCCCCGGGGAACAACCTTCCGTAAAAGGATCCTTAGAAACGGGAGGACAGGCGGACAGGCCAGCCTTTGCTTGGTGTAGCTCACATCGTTGTCTCCTGTCGACGGCCGTGAGCAAGGCCATTGCGGATATTGGAGGATGTCGCGCATGTCCGAATAGCATAGGAAGTAGAAAGCACTCGGCAGCACCCATGTCGCACCGACTTCTGCCGCATCGTATCACCACCAGACTGTCATCGAGGCCGTCGCTACGGAATGTTTCCGATCCAGATACTTCGAACCCATCGAGGGAGGTAGGGTAGCCCGTGTCGAGGTGCTGCAATGCGCGCCGACAAGATATTGCACGTCGTATTTGGGCTTAGACGCGGATGCCCGTGATTGTTGCTAAGTCAGTCTTGCTGGGCGGAGGCTGGGAGAAACTCGAGGCTGATGAGAACACGCTTCAAAGGAGCAGCGCGCGGAAGACACACCTCGAATCGAAGATGGCCCTCAGAAAGCAAGTCACATCCCGCGCACTGTCATGCAACTGGACGACGGGACATCCATCAATATGTTCCTCTCCCTCCGGAAATGACAGCATGTCCGCAAAAACCGACGAGCGTGCTGCAAGCAGGCCCTTTGATATTCGGTAGATCGAGTTTTTCTGCGCGGAGGACGAGATTGTCGTCATCAAACAAGTTCCGGGATGCGCTCCAAAGGTTCGGGTAGTGATGATACTTCAGGGCGTGTTGCATGGTGGGAGGGAGGATGAAGGTGGGTATCGTCAAACGGTGCTTGTCACATGCCAGTCACATGTCAACGCACGGGATGGCCATTATGCAAAGACTCTCCGGGTATCGAGAAATCGAATAACACTAGTCGCTCACCTTGATCCCGCGCAGAGAGCATTTACTTATTCACAGGAGCTCCTCAATGTTTGAGATCTATCGGGACTTTCTGATGCGATAGCTTGTGTGGGCTCAAGCTTCAGACCAGCGAGCGTGGTCCAAAATATGGGATATATAGAATGCATCGGACATCCTCTCGTAAAAGTACAGAGCCGCAGCACTACCATTTAAACCTTGTACCGTCGTCCGGTTTTGGTGAAGAATGTTTGTAGCACATAAACTTGGAAGCTGCCGATATGTGAGGATGCGCCGATGAAAGACAAGAGTGCACATACACAGCCATGGTGACAACGCCCAGACTCTCGAAGACAGCATACCAGAATAAACGACTATCCGCCGATGAGTTTCAGCACGTTTGGGAGGTAGAGACGAACACACTTTTGAATCGACTTCACGATTGAGAACCCACGGTTCTCTCGCGTGTGGAAGCTGCAGGCAAACAATTGAAGAGTTTACGGCGTGATAAACAAATGAAAACGCACTGTTTCTGAGTTCGTTTGATGTTCATGAGCATGCCGTTGAGCCGGAACACACTCTCCTCCAACGCACTTGTCTGCTCTGAGATCTGACCGGGCTTCGCTGGTGCCTCTCTCCTTGGCTCGCTTTCCACCATAATGTCGAAGTCGATGAGCTTTTCAGTGAGCGTGGACATGTCATTTTCGAAACAGAAGGAATATTCGCCCTGAACGTTGCCGGTGAAGACGTAGTCTCCTTGACGCTCCCGCTTTCCTTGCAGTAAAAACTTGTCATTGGGGTCTTTCACATCGAAGTCGATGTCAAACGAGCCTCCAGATTGCACCTAAATGATCGTGTGCGTGTATGAGACCAAAGCGTGCATTGGTCGATGAATTCAATTACAGCAAAGTAGAACTTAGTAACAGTCAGTGAGAACCCTCTGAATAGATGGCAAGTATACCCACGCCAATTTTCTCCCCAACTTTATCCACGTCAGCGTAGAAACACAACCGTTCGTTCGCCGCGATGGCCGTCGTCAAAGCGGAAGCACGAGCATGAAGAGAAAAGTCCAATGTGTAGAGAAAGCCAGCAAGGACGTGTAGAAGAATCATAAGTAGCACAGAGCTGCTGACACCAATGGAGGACGGGAGAAGGTCAATGTAAACAGATACAATCGCCCCAAATGGGAAACTAACATCATGATGCGTCGTCTGCACCGTTCAACATTGTGTCCTACATGGTACTGGTACTTGGTCCAGATGCCGCCCTCATTCACACCAGACCTCCGCACCCTCAAATCTGCGTTATCCATTATCTCCAATCATACTTGAGCTCTTTCTGTTGTAAGGCCAGCCTCGGCACTGCAACATGCTCTCCTTCGATCAGCGACGGGACTGGGCCATATGGCACATATAGTCAGCATGCCCCCAGCTCCCAGTCTTTGCACGTCAATTCGCTGGGCTTTTCGTGCTTGGCGGGGCTTGGCGCACCTCCCACTTTCTGCCTAATCTCGAAGAAACGCGCATCGTTTTCGCCAGTGAATCAATCTCACATGGATAACCCGTCCTTCTAGGCGCTATAGATTGTATGCTGATGCTCTGGGACAACGTGGGCTGAAGACTATCTCGCTCTGCACGCATGTGTTACTTCGCATGCGTATCCTGCAGGAGACAGTACTTATATCCAAGGGCTAAGACTGCCTGTGCTTCAGCCGCTTTCCGCTTTCCGCTCGAGTCTCCATGGTCTCCTTCCCCAAGTGCTTTACTTCGATTGTGGCCCTCGCTGCGCTTGGGACACCGGCTCTTGGTGCTCTCCCGACCCCAGTGTCGGTTGCAATGGCAAAAAGCTACCTTGGCAGCTCAAGGTGGCTGTCGACAGCAACGTGCCAGCGTACGCGCGCAGTCAGTTCAAGTTGTGGGATACCAGTCTGTCTACATCCTGATGTATCTTCTTGCGCTATAACGGTAGACAGTTTCTGGCAACTGCAACACCCGTGAAAGTGAGTCCTCTGCCCATCTGATTGTTTGTCCCTCCCGCCGATGACTCTCAGCTGTGCTCATTCGGGATGGGACGAATGTTGTGACGAGCTCAGCTTGCGCAGCCACCTCTGGCAACTGGGTCAGTCCTTACGATGGTGTAGCTACAACCCTTGCCAGCGATCTGGACATTGTGGGTTGTCTTGCAGCAACTGTCTCCGATCCTGTCTGATGACTTTTCCAGGACCATCTTGTACCTCTGAAAGAGGTTGGGGATATTGTCGATGGCAAGAAACGACACACTCATTCATCGACAGGCTTGGGTCTCCGGGGCCCGTGACTGGACACCCGCCCAACGAGAAGCCTTTGCAAACGATCTCACGAGACCACAGTTGGTTGCAGGTGTGTGAATAGGCGAGCTTCCGTTCTGTGCTTATCTTACATGACACAGTTACCGATAACTTGAATCAAGCCAAGGGTTCGTAACGGAATATCTTCTTTTGAGGCTGACTGATTCGCTTTGACTACAGGAGACAAAGGTGTGTTGCCCGAGATCAACATCGGATGGAATGCTGATTGGAGGCAGATCCCGCGTCGTTTGTTCCTCCTCTTGCAAGTTATGTCTGCACTTATGTGCGCGCCTGGATCGAAGTGGTACGGAGATTTCATCAGCCTTTGCACCGCTTGATTCCGATGATTCAGAAACACTATTACAACCTGACCATCGACTCGACGGAAAGCACGGCATTGCACAGCTACATCAATGGCTGTTGAATGTCTGATTGTATCAATTTTATCCATCTCAAGGGAATGTGTCTATGTTGAAGCCCTTACGTTTCTGTGTTATCTACTATCGCATGGCCTAGAAACCATCCAGCACTCTCTGCTTCTCATGCCGTTTTAAGCTTCCATCAACGTCGGTGCTGGACCGTGCCGGAGAGCAGCGTATGCACACATCAAACGTGTGACTCTAAAATCGGCAAGCTGATAACGCTTGGCAGAGCTTGGCGGCTTCCGACCTTCTCATCCCCGCAAGACGCTGAATGCGGGAACAACAGATTGCATATGGGTCAACTCTCAAAGCAACTTATCGCCGGCAGACCCAGTGTTGATATCTGCATCCACTCAACGTGGGTCGGGGGCACTATCTGACTGTTTTCATGCGGTCCGACTTGTGAGGTTATTTGCTGCGAGCACTATTTATACGCTTGCGTTGATTAGCGTCCAACGCTGGTCATTCTATCGATGGTCTCTTTCCCCAAGCATCTTACCGCAGTTGTTTTGCTCGCGGTGCTCGGCACCCCTGCTCTGGCCGCGCTCCCGACTCCGGTCTCGGTTGCCACAGCTAAAACGTATCTGAGCCAGCTCAAAGTGGCGGTGGACAGCAACTCGCCAGCATACGCTCGCACGGAATTCAAGACCTGGGACACGAGTCAGTCGGTTTTCTCTTTGGTTGTCCCCGCTGGCACTCATCTGTGGCGATAGTCTCCGGAAATTGCGACACGCGCGAAAGTGATTTGGGTTCAATTGGGAGGCGTATCTGGGACTGAAGGTCTCCCTCCAGCTGTTCTGATTCGGGATGGGACCAATGTCGTGACGAACTCCGCTTGTGCAGCTACTTCAGGCCACTGGGTCAGTCCGTACGACGGCGTTGCGACGACACTTGCAAGTGATCTGGACATCGTAAGCTCTGTCGATATTCCGGCTGGACTCAGGCTAACCGTCTATTGAGGATCATCTCGTTCCTTTGAAAGAGGTCAGACAGCCTCACTGCGCCTCAATGGAAGCGAGCTTAACGCTCAGTAGGCCTGGCTATCCGGGGCCCGTGACTGGACTGCAGCGCAGCGTGAATCTTACGCGAACGATCTCACTAGACCGCAGCTCGTCGCCAGTACGCATTCTGTGATATCACTGTTCTCGCCTGAAATGAATGCATAGTCACTGACAACCTCAATGAATCCAAGGGTCAGTCCTCTTCTCGTACATGGGACCACTCACTCAATTCTTTGTCTCCAGGTGATAGAGGTATGCCGTCTATCGATTTCACTGCATGTCCGATAGCTCATGCAGTGCAGACGTTGCATCGTTTGTCCCCCCTCTGGCTAGCTACGTCTGCACTTACATTCGGGCCTGGATCGAAGTGGTACGCTCCCTCCTTCTCGTCACCGCATCTCATCCAAGCTGATGGCGCAGAAACACTTTTACAACCTGACCATCGACTCTGCCGAGAGCACAGCCTTGCATAGTTACATCAACGGGTGCTAAAGAGAAATGTATTCAGTGTATCAGGTGTAAACATATCAATCGACCTCGTTAAGTAACACGTCGCGCGCGTCCAGTGACGAAACACAGGCCCAAACGGAACGTGACTGGCACGACGACTCGTGAGACCGGGACACCCCTTCCACAGAGGTCCTACTCCAGATGAATTTCTCACGCTTAGTCTGACATCTCAAGTCAACGTTTCGCACGTTGCATCCTTCAGACGGAAGGTGGACACGTCAGGATTGATTGTGACTATCCACTTACGTAAACGTTAGTCACATGACAACAATTGTGGGCGGCCAAACAAGACACAAGCAAATTCCAATTGTCTCTGAACGCATTGTTACATCTCAATTGTTCGGTCAACTACTTAATGGCGGCAACCATGTCTGAACGCCCATTCTGGCACACTCTCTTCTTCGCTCATGCCCCGCCCACTTCCTAATGCCCCTTCTACCTCTGCCTCCGACGTGAAGTCGGCTTGGTCGGCGCCCTCTACTCCATTAACGTTTGTTGTGAACTTCTCGGTGCCGCCGTCTAGTCCACGTCTTCTGAAGGCCCGTCGCCGCGATTGCCATATATTTCCGCACTCTGCCTCCTCATCTACGACATCCTTGGAGTCCGTTTCGACTCGCAACGAGGGCATCCAGTCGGCAGAGTTCTGGATCTCTCCATCAGACCCACCGTCAGACGCTTCACCAGGCCATGTCACTCCTCAGACCAGGCCGAAGCCGTTGCGGCCTAAGCCTGCTGATATTATCATACCTCACAAATCTGCACCGCCGGCCATTCTGTCCCCGGAGACACCTGCTGCGTTGTCGACTGCGATCGAACATCATATGCGGTCACCGCTTTCTCCGTTGTCACCTTTCCTCCCTCAGTCTCCGGTCCAGTCGCCCAACGCTCGCATTCGGAAAATTGCCAAACTCAAGCGCACTTTGGGCGAGAACGTTCCAATCGAGCTGGTGTTCCCTGATCATCGCCAGGCTCAGACCCCAAGAAACGTGGAGGCGGCTATGGCGAACGGCGCGAAGCAACCCCGAAAGCGGCGTCTGGCCTTGTTTCGCAATCGCGAGCCAGCGCCTGCCTCGACTGAGGCGGAATGGCCTTTGACACCGACTCCTGACTGGGTTGTCGATGCTGAAGCTCACGCAAAGACGGCTGTTGGTCTTCATTATGCTCTCGGAATGGACTCGTTCCCCAGGCGCTCCGCGGCGCTGCCCCCCTCGACTGCGGAGGGTCCAGCATCGCCAGGGCCGTTCTCGGCCATGTTCAATATCGATGACGCTTCTTGGGAGCGCGCCCGACAAGCTGTCATGGGTTCTCGGCGTCAGCAGAAGAAGAACCTTGCTGTACCCGTCCTGGACAAAGCACCGCCGCGCAGTGGTCTTGGAGTCTGGCGCAAGAAAGAAAACACCTGGAGTGGCGAATGGAATGTTGAGAATATGGAAGAGCTTCACGTTCGCTTGCGCCGGCTCAAGTGAACGGACGCTTTCGTCTAACGAACGAACGATACATATATGATTACAACGCTCAACGAAACTGCAATTGTTCTCCTTATCATTTCCTATCTGTAGCCCCCTAGTTTATATCTCTCCTTTAATGAACTGTAGTATACCCTTGTAGCACATCGTAGTCTTGAATCCATCAGCCGGAACTGTATCCCGGAATCACGATCTGATCAACTTTTGTCTTCAACTTGAATTGTTCCCCAGCAATAAATGTCCCATTCCTCGTGTTTCTTGTTGGCAGACATCATGGAATTCACCATGCAAACAACGCCTCTTCACGTGGAACTATCCTTGTCGCAAGAAACCCGCGTCGTTGTCGGCCATTGTAGGCAAAAGCGCGGGCTTTGGTTCTCTCACAGCAGCATGCCTATTTTCTGCCCTCTACTCGATGCCCATGATGTACATGAACAGTTCCCTTGAGCCCTGCTCGGACAAGCCCGAAGATTGTGAGTCCATCGTTTTCTCGAACCCTCAGCGCTCAGTTTCATATAGCTTGGCAATCCAAGACACTGGCGATTGCGTCGACTTTGTCGTGTGCTTTTGGGACATCTCATGCTCGCACCGATCGCATTCGCCTTGCCAACGGATCAGTTTCGGTGTGCATAACTCCCATGGTCTCCAGAGATGTCTAGTCCTTGACCACCGGGCTCAAGAGTGTATAAGGCTTGGATCCCGACGACGATTCTTGCCGTCTGAGCGCCCTTCCCTCTTTACGCAATCCAGGCAACCCTGCCCATTTTCTTCTTGTAGCTCGTTTCCCATTTGTCGTCAGGCTCAACATGGCAACTGGTGTCAGGACATCACGCGCACAGACACCTGCGTTTCCAGTGGCTATAAAGCCAGCGCAATCACGCATCTCACGCACTTCATCCATGTCCTCACGCGCCGTGTCTGAATCCATCCTTTCATCGAGCAGACCACGTTCATCTTCACTCTTGACGGCCGGCCCGTTGAGCGCCCCATCACGCAGCCCATCGCCTAGCACAGCATTCCTGCAGGAAATCGATGTGTGGATGGATAACATGGTAGAGATGTTGAGGGCTCTGGAAGAACAGCACAGTTGGCTCCAAATTCAGCTGGGAAGGGAGGGCAGCACCCCGATGTTGACAACCAGACACAAAACCATCAATGGTCTGTTCTCTCTGTCAGTTTTTCTAATCGCCTGACCCATCACAGGTCTTCCCACTCGACCGGATTCACGTATCCTGAAATCGAGATGACGGATTTGTTGTATCTTGTATTTGCTGTGTACTATCTTGTAAGGATTTGTATAGACTGTCTCACATTGCTTCACACCATGAACCCTTCGACCATTGTCTTCGCTAAAGGTGTCGCTGACGTCGGAATCGGTCTGATTCTCTTTTGGAAACCGGTATTGTTGTATGAGTCGTCGGCAACGAAAGCACTGTCGGCGCTGACTGGTTTGGTAAGCTGCTGTGATCGTCTTACAATTCGCTCGACCAGCCCTCAGGGTATGACCAACTCGTCTATCGCGCCTGGCTTCAATCATTCGATTGCCTGTTTGGTTGCATCTGTCGGCCTGGGTAGTGTCGTCGCTGCTCGTTCAGGGCCTGCTGCTTTACCTGCCATTCGTGCGTCTCTTCATGTATGCACCTGGCCCATCAACTTCACGCAGATCCTCGCAGTGGCAATGACGTCGGCGTGCACTGTTCTCTCCCTCATCACGTGCGCTTTTGCCCCGGTCGCTTGGGGTGTGGGTAGTGCCACCCTCTTGCTCGGTGGCCTGGTGAACGCAATATTCAGTCTCGGATTGTATCTCGCCGAACCACGTTTACTGCGCTTTTGAGCGGATCTACTATGTATAAATACGGGTTTGGTATGAACTCTGTACTTACTTACCGTTTCGAATTTCACCTTGCTATCAACCTTCCTTACGAGTCAAGACGGAGTAATCCGGTCGCGTGAACACACATTCCATAAAACAGGGGATTCCGATCATGATTCTACTGCATGTCCGTCCCAAACATATCCGACAAATACATTAGCTGTGTACCGGGTTTGGTTTCCCCCACCGGTGATCATGCATGCCTCGTCATCTCGACAGATGTCGCCATCGGCCTCTGCACCGATAACCAGCTCTGATGCCATTGGAATAGCAATGCGCTCTTCGGTGGCAATCTGGGCAACAGTTTTCGGGCCTGATGTCGTCATCCCCTCAATCAGGCGTGTGGCGAATGCCATAGACGCGAATGCTGGAGTGTGCAGCACCCGCATACCAGAAGATAACGTGCGCAGGTGAATCGGTGGCTCTGTGAAGCGGGGCAGGAGCGGTGTCACTTGGAGCATAGTGGCAGGCGGGAGCAATGAAACTCCTCGGGCACGGTTCCATCCACCCCAGACCTCGTCGAGTGCTATCAAGCCTCGTTCACGCATCAAACCCGTAGAGTTTCGCGTCTTTCCCTGAAGGACGCCGGACAGCTCCTGAGCCAGTTGCTCCGTCCACCGCTCTTCATCTGTGATCATGTCCTGAGTCACGGGCGCATTAGTCATCTGCAGCCCTAGTTGCGACAACGACGACCGGATGAACGTCGCTTCTTCCGGCTCAACAGTGACGCCCGGATCCGCAGTGGAGGAAAGCGCAGTCAACTTCTCGTTGAGATCGGCGGCGAGATGCACCATCTCTCTGGTCCTGACTTTGAGGGCCTCGATGTCTTGGAAGGCAGCATCCATATTGATCACGCGATTTTGAGCAGAGTTCTCTGCTGCTTTCAGAATACCGCTGATTCCTTTGCGATTCGCTTCAGAGTCTACTGCACTTGGTGTGGCTGCCTGAGATAATGTATCACAAATATGTTCAGAGCGATCAAGGACATCGGCACGCACCATCAGCCAAGCTTTACCTTTCAATGACGTGCGTAATATTCCGTAGAAAACTTTGTCCCCGCCCTTCCTGAAACTGATCTTGATAAGCTGGGGTGAGGAATCGCCGGCATCGTCATCACTGAGATCGGGCGAAACAGGTCGGGATGACGGCGCAGACTTCGAAGTTCTTGGCCGAGGAAGCGGCGTCCCACATATCTCACAAGCTTGCAGTGAAGGATGATTAAGAAAAGTGCAAGCGCTGCATGCAATTTCAGAGGATTCATGCAAAGAGGGCATCGAGCTGCTCGAAGGAATGGCGTTGGAAAGTGGAGTTTGTTGAGCCGGGACCGAGTCGCGCGAGATGCCGCACAGCCCACATATCCGAGCGGCAGCAGGGCTCAAGCCTGGAGGATTGCGATATCCACAGACTTCGCACTCCCAACTTTCGAACACTGCTGAAGAATCTACGGCCACGGTCTCGGGCGATAGGGTCGGGCTCGTAATATACAGGGTGACTTTGGGTGAGGATTTGAACAAGCCCGCGTAGTGTTCTGTCCGGGTCACATAAGAAAGATCCATAACAAAAGAGCGACTCCTGCGGTGTTCAGAGGAAATGTAGAACAGTCTATGCGTCGATACGTATACAGTGCCAGATTGGTGATTCGGCGACTTCTGGTTTCTAGATGCGAGCTCCGATCGGCGAGGGCGGGGAACAAGAGAAGAAAGACAGACCCATCGTACACTCCAACGTTGTCCTGAGTTGCCAAAAGCACTTCGTCATCGTAG